TTCACCAGAAAATAGGTATATGTTTTTTAAGAGCAATTATGCTTCCTTAAAACAAGTCTTTTTATCTTAGGTAGAAGATAGCAAATGTTCCTCATATATTATCTCTACGAATTTTTCTTGACAGGTTTTCAAGTCCTGTATTCATACCAAAATTTTATCTTGATTTAGTAACTAGACAAAAAGGCTGGCTTCATTTGTATGAACAGTTTTTTCAAATATGTATGTACTTGGATGCCCTTAAATTCCCCAAGTAGAAAGAAATGCTTTCCACGAAGCTGCTTATTCCTAGTAACCCACATCAGAGCTGACACATGAAAAATGGTGAAATTACTGAAGGTAGTCCAGCCTGAATAAGGACTACCTTATTAGTTCAGGTACTTGCATCTCCCTAATTTTCATATTAATCATGTGTCCATCTTTCTCTGAAATAGGGCCATCATGCTTCATGTCAGAATTCAGCATGTAAGTAAAATTCATAGTGCTTCAAATCTCACTTGAAAATATTTGTGTGAAGAGAACAGAATGACTGATCTTATTATTACTAACAAAATGAGATTTCCTAAAATGTTCATTTTTAGCCTTGAAACAGGAAAAGTAGTATTAAGACATTTATAAAATCAGTGACAGCCACATATAGCCCCTAACCCCCAAATCAACAAAAACACAGTGCTCTCATCTAAGAGAGTTGCTGCACACTGTAATGTACCAATGTTATATATTTCTCATCAATTTTTACAGTTTCCACTGATTAAAAATATATTGACTCATAAAGTATTACCATCACCTCAATTGTCACCAGATGCAACCATATGTCATTTAAGTATTAACTATCATATAAAAATGGCAGCTTGGTTGTTTAGAAGCCATAATCTGGTAGCAGCCATTCCCAAATTTCCCTATGTAATAGCAAGCTCATAGAAAAATGTGATTCTCTTTCTACTAATCTATGTGCAGCCAAATGAAAGGAAAAATCTTTAAATAACCATTTCTTTTCTTTGTCAAAATATTACTATATATTCATGGTAAATAACAGGTTTACTGATGTAGGAGAAAACACGTTGGTGGGTTAAATTTTTCTGCAAGATGGAAGTTGAGGTCAGCTAAATAAGCTAAGCTCAACAGAACTATCATTAGAAATTCAAATGCACATAAATTGCTATCATATAAAACTTATGTCATCAATATCACCATCTGTAAAAATGAGTACCATATTTGGATCACATTCTTTCTAGATGCTGTATCTAGAATGTTTGTTAGCTCACTCCTTTTTTTCATAAAGGATAATCACTAAATTCCCAGTTATAGCTCAGATGTCTCAAGTTGCTAATATTAATAGTATCAACTTGTAACAAACGAGTCTGGAGACATTCAAAAACCACCCTGCTCCAGAAACAGGAAAAAAAAAAAAGAATAAAATACATGTTTTGGTAGGAGGAGGAGAGAAATCCATTCTATATGTTAACTATCCTATCAGATGGTGTAGACATTGCCTAGACTATTAAAACCATCTAGTAACTGATAGGTAATTGCTCATTTGCTGACTGCAGCGGTGTACAGCAGACAGAAGCTGTGAGGGAAGCCATCCTTCCTTGCTAATATAACATGTGGAACTTGCTGCTACTGCAACACTTAATGCTCACAGTACCGAGTCATCTTTGAATGCAAACACACATTTTATGCCTTGCTTCTATGTTTTCCATTATAATGCAACACAAAAACAGTGTACATTTCATTCCATCCCTATGAGGTTTGCATAAGCAGTTCCAAGTCAGACTAAATATTGTATTTCTCTTATTACAGTAGATAAATATTTTAAAATTTAGGAATTAAATATTTTATTTTTTTGGTATGCTCCTTGCAACTATTATGAACTTTTACAGCTTCTTCATTCATGGGAAATCTGTTGGGTTTCCTTTTTTAAATGTAAGGCTGTTATTTGTTTCCCCAAACAGAAGCAGATCAGAGTTAACAAACAAGTTCAATAAATCACTTTATACTTGATGTTAATAAGAATACTATGCTTTTTCATATAAAGAAAGAGACTTTTCTGTAAGGCATGTATCTGTTATTATAAAGGTGTGCTAACAGAAAAAAATGAATCAAGTAAATACTGTATGCATATAATTTTTCTCTTCATTTTTATAACAGCACAGATTTTCTTGGCATCCATCTCTTTACCTGACACAGGTATTTCTCACACTAAATTAAGACAATATATCCTAGGAAGAGCACGTCCTGAGCTGTTTGGCTAAAATTTTCCACAAAATAAGAAACCAAGCTGTTTATACATTTGCCTTAAAAGAAGTACACTAATTATGTCAACTGATTTATTACTACATGAAGTTCTTTGTCCAATTATTAAAACTACAGAGAGATCAGGGAGCAATTTTAATGTCTAACGCGCACCTCAAAATCTTTTTTTTTAAGTTAATTAAAATTCTAAGCAAAGTTATTCTAGATAGGCCCCTTAGGTTTTATGCAGGTTTTAATAAAATCATAACAATAACATTACCTCATTGGCCAGCTCCAGGAGCACTGGGGCAGCTCCATTTTTCAGCACTCCATTCAGGTACCTAGACAAGACAAAGTCAAGTGGTAATGCCGTAACAAGAAAAGGCCAGCATAGACTTGTCAGCATCCCCTGTGTGTGTGCATTTCTCCTGGGCAAATGCCACGCTCAACTCTAGTTAAAGTATGCGACTGTCATAGCAAAGCATTGAAGGGAAAAGGATAACAAAAACAACTTACCTTAAAATCCCCGGCAACTAAGTAACTGAAGTTGGGGGCAGGAGGTATGAACACATAGGTAACCCTTGTTTTCACCTCTAAATACGTAAAGTGAACACAGAAGTGATTTCCAGGGAACTATCTGTATCACTTTGGCTTTGTCTAAACCACAGACAACCATTACATGAAAAGGAAATAAGATTGCTTCTGTACTTTCAAAAAAGCATCCGCCATGTACTCATCTCACCTGTTTCTTTGCCTCTGCTTCATAAGGCTACCTGACACCTTATTAAGAAAAAAATGGAACAGACCTGTCATCAGTGGGTCAGCACACCTTTGATAGGAGAAACAAGCCGTCATCTTATCTGCCCTGGATTTCTGTAATAACCTCCATCTCTCTTCATCTCCTAACTCCACTGAAAAAATAAAAAACAAACAAACAAAACTCCCCAAATCCATCCCAGACATGGAAGCTGGGATATATTTTTTATTTGAATGTGCCATTCTCCTCCTTAAAATACTCCAAAGGCCCCAAATTAAATCTCAAGATTAAATTATAACCACTTAACAGCTCTGGTAAGGTTCCTCACAATCTGATTCCTACCTACTCTACTCTGCCAGCCTCATCTCTAGTCACTGTGCTCTACTCCTCCCCTTCACCTGAGTAACTCATGATTCAGCTCAAATGTCACCTTTTTCAATCCACCACCATCTAAGACTAAGTTAAGTGCCCTTCATATGCAATCCAGGAATGCCCTATACATCTCTCTACCTCATACACAGCATACTGTATTTGCCTACTCGTCTATCTCAAACCCCTCCCCCACCGTAATGTTGAAATCCTCATGAGGATTGGGAAATTATATTTCATTCAACTTATTATGCCTAGCACGATTCTTGGTTTATAGTAGGTGATCACATAACACAAGTACATATTATTTCTTTGATAAATAAATAATGAAATACTTTTTTAAACCATATTGGACAAGAAAGTAGAATTAGGCACGGACATTTTCTCGACAGTGTATCGTTTAAGTGAACAAGTCGAGGATATTTGTCTGAGAGTAAAAGAAAAGTCAACAGGTGAGGTCTTTCATTTAACTGCCAGGAACAGATACTAAATTATAATATTTCACAAGTTACTTACAAAGATACATAATTTTCCTATAAGCAAGGTGGGGAAAAACCAAATTATCCAAGGTGTGGAAGCACCTCTGGATCATTGTAACTTTAAAATAATTCCAGCAAATCTGTTGTCCACATTTTGTGGCCATTCTTGAATATATTATTTAAGAAACTAACCAGCAAATGAGGAATTTTAGAGGCAAGAAGAAAAAATTAAACCAAGGCGATGTGGTTTAAAGACAGCAGTATCAATCATTATCCTGGTAATGAACAACAAAGCACTTCTATCAAGTTTAAAGAAACAGGAGATGGTCAAACAGTAATAACAGCCCCTTACATCTAGATAGTCTATATAATATTCAGAGTATGACCACACTTAATATAGTGGAAATTCCTAATTATGAGGGTTGGTAAAGCTTCTCAGTAGGTCATATAAAGAGAAGCCAAACCCCAGGGCACTGATAAAACCCATCTGTGCGCTCTTAGCTGATAAACAATAAAGCTTGGAAATGGAACCCTGATCCCCCAAGGCCCACTGAGGTGCCTCATATGTTGAAAAGGGTAGACATGCTCTGAATGTGTCTGTTGCCCAATTTGTTCCCCAATTATATCCCATAACACTTCAAAAATGTTAGGGGAAAAAATTAAGTTTAATTTGAGGTTGTATTTATTTTTTTCTGGGAAGTTTAATTCCCCCACATCAAAGTGACCGATCAGGCTTTATTTAAATTTTCAGATATGCAATCAAAGGAACATACAAATTACAGAAAATATTCAGTAAAGACTTTATCAGAAAATTCTAATGCTACTTTTATCTGATTCTTCATAGCATCCTGTGCAAACTTACAGCACTACACTTTTCACACTGGTATAATGGTTTGTTTCCTCTCCAACTAGACTGGAAGCTCCTTGGGGTAGGGTTACACGAATGACTTCTGAACCCTCATCCAAGAGATCCCTGGAAAAGTTATGAATTGTAATCAAGATATAAAGATGTCATCCTGAACACTCCATTAAGGTGACCAGGGCTCCATTCCTGATGCCTATTTGCCAATTAAAACTACTTTACACAGAAGCTATGTCATCCTCTAGCTTTACCACGAGAGGACTCACATGTATATCCTATGGGTGAAGTCATCCTTGAAGGATCCTCAAAGAAGACCCACTTTATGGTGTTTTTTGAGCATGAAAGATCCATTAGCACCTAAGATTAAAACAACAACGTGTACCTATTTCAAATATAAGACAAAGTTACTTGATCTTTAATATTTTCAAAATAATTTTAACAATAAAACTTAAAAAACATACTAACATTCTGTGCTAAGCTTACATCTAAACACTGCCTTTCTTGAACCTCGGGAGCCCATCCCCACTGCCACCGCCACCAGACTCCCACTCACCGGAACCACACTAACAGCTGACTCCGCAGGCGCCCCTGCTTCTAGGTGCTCACACGATTGCCTATCCTTTCAACTGCCACAGAACCATCTTCCCAACATGAAAACGTGACTGGACTACTCCTTTCTTAAAAATCTACCACTGGGTCCACATTGCCTAATAAAATATATATATATATATATATATATAATCCTATTCCTTTGAACAAGACCTTCAGCACCTGCCCGCCTTTTCAGGCTCATCTTGCCCATCTCCATGTGTTCTCCATGCCCTGGTCCAGGAGCATCCCTAGCTTAGCCACTGACTGCTTTCTCTCAGCTTGGAAGGCCCACTCCTTCCTAACCAACCAGGAAAGGCAACTCTTTTGTTTCTGGAACGTACGTATTCAAGTTGCACTGGATACCTATTGTTGTTGGAACTCCCACAGCACTCTGTATAGACTTAACTGTTAGCACTTCTCTTGCTGCATTTTACACATTTATGTACACAGCTGTCTTCCCACCAAACAGGACAGCTGAAGGAAGGCACATACTGCGTCTTATTCACATTTGTACAGCCAGTGGGATCTAGTGCAAAGTAACTGGTGCTAATGGAACGAAAAAAAAGGTTCAAATTTTCAGAAACTACTTTTTATCATGGACTGTCAATATCATATTTAAATCAACCATTTTTCCATGTGAACATCTGAATGAAATTCAATTGATCTGATTCTCTAAAGCTATTAGAGCTGGCCCCCGCTAGCCAATGTGTTGGGAGAAGGGAGGAGAGGGGAGAACATATGTCTAAACTATTGATGGGGACTTGCAAATCTGACCAACTACGTGTGTGTGCACACTTGCCCGTGTGCACCGATTTAGGCAAGCCTAAATAAATTTTACCAAGTACGTTTCCTGTTTGGAAATAAAATGGTATTAGTACAGTGAAAAGAATAGAGAATTGTTTTCAAAATGAACACTCAAGCTGTGTGTCTATAAATATACAACATGGAAAACTAAGGAAATTTCCTCAATAATTCAAAAGCCTGAGAAAACATTTTCTACTGCTATCTGGATGTTATGTAGTTTCAGTTAACCATGATGGAATCACATTAAATACAGACTTTGAATTCTTAATTAACATCATCTCAATGCTAGCAAGAATGCAGAGAGACAGGAATTTTTTTATACTGCTAGTAGGAATATAACCAGTACAACATTTCTAGACAGTATTTTGGCAACATATAATACATTTTTTAAATGTTTGTACTAGTAATTACATATGTAAAAATATTAAGAAACTAATCCAAAATGCAGACTCATGCATCAAGATGTTTACCACAGTATTATTTACCATATCAGATCATTGGAAAGATGTGTTCAACAGAGAAATAATTCAGTAAATTATAATACTTTCATATGATGAAGTAAGGCAATCAATAAAATATTTATGAAAATCTTTGTACAAAATAATACTATGTCATATACATTTTTCCAAATATAAAATTCAAGATTCACAATAGTGTATACAGTATGACCTCATCTATAAAAAAAATGGGCTGACAAAAGACTAGAATGAAAAATACCAGTAGATATCTCTGAGTGGCACAATTAAGTGCAGTCATTCATTCCTTCTTTATACCATCACAAATGTACTTAATTTTCACAATGGGGTATATTACTTTATAAAAGAAAAAAATTAAATTATTATTAATATTTTCAAACTGCTTACATATGTTTTGATATAACACATGTGCTCTTTAATCAGCTGGGAAACAAACAAAACCCCTTTAAGGCCAATTTACCTTGGCACAAACAGGGACATTCGACCCGCACATTTAAAACAAGAGGCTAGTAAGGTCAGTTGGTCTGAAAGGTAACAACATGGCCTGTCCCCAAGCACAAAGTGCAGAGCAGAAAGTCAGAGAGCAAGCTGGTGAAGCAAGAAAGTGGTCAGAAGGCTTTCTTCTGTGACTACCCATTACAATCTAACTTCATGTTTTTGTTTCAAATGCTGTAACTCTTTGAAATAATTAAGACTCTCATATTTAAATAAATTTAAAGAAATATGAATATATTTCTGTATGCCTACTCAATTGTTCATCACTGAGTAACCATACTTAAAGATTTTTATTTCTGGCCTAAATTACCTGTCCCAGATAATCCAACAAAATTATTGCTCATACTTTGATAATTAAATATACTTTTTAATGAAATTAAGATTTTAAAATGTAGCATTTAGTGATCTTAGAAATCATCTACTTAATGAATATCAGATGGTAGCCCTTATCACCTGTTTAGTGGACCTCCAAATTTCTATGCTCTGTTTTCCTATGTTTATGTTACAAGGCGTTACAATCCGGACATAAAATCATACTTTTATGTGTCAGCCTAGGACTATAATATTTTCAAACAAGCATGTATTTTTTTTTTTTTGCATGTAAATACGTTTTCAGTCTTTCTTTGGAGGGTCTAGATGCCAAAGCAGTTGTAGGATTCACAGCACTTCATGGGCCATTCTTAATTTTATAGGTATGATTTAGGTTATGACTTTAATTTAAATGTTAATTTCACCAAGGAGGTTATGACTTTTGTATAAATCAAACTTTACAGAGACTTGTTTAGAGAATAACTCTACTAGACACAGAAGTGTGTGTGTGTGTGTAGCATGTGCATGTATCTTTCTTTAATAGATATTACTACTCAAAACAAAACATATTCTACCACATATGGCAGAGTGAATAATTTTCTAAAAAATCTAATGTCAATAACTTTTCTGTTCAATATCCACTTCTCAATTCTAAAAAAAAAAAAGACTTTACAGAAACATGACACCAATATTTTATCCACATATTTATTTCATTCATAAAATTTTCATGCATAAAAATCATTCATCTAAAATCAGTGGTGTCACTCTCACCAAAGAAAAGGTTGATCTGTCAATCTTAAGTGTAATAATTTAAGAGCATATTTCAAACAGTTTTCCTTCCCAATGTGCCCTTGAAATATTTAAGAAACCAACTAACAATTTCTAATGCAAACCATTAGCATTTAGTGTTACAAATTATTCAGTCATATCACAATGACAAATTTAAGAATTAAAAAAAAAATTCAGAGCTATTTTAAAGATTCTATTTGTTTCAGAGCAAGAGGTTGAAAACTATTTATAATAAATTAGGATGAAGTTAAAATATCCTCTGGATACTATGCTATTGATTTAATACCTAAGATTTTCTTTTAAAAACACAAAGCCCCTTTAAAATGTGACAGTTACATATTAAGTCTCCATATGTCCATACTTGATATGTCTTTCTCTTTCATTTCTAAAATGGATATCCTGATACCTATGATGTAATATACAACTACATCAAAATTCAATCTTATTTTTCCAACTTGCTAATCTAAAAGAAGAAATAAATAAAAATGTTGGAGAACTTCCAAAAATACACATGTGTATATGAGCATATGCATTTAGACAAGATATGTACTTACAGTAAGTTTCAAGTAACCAACTGAAATTTCATAATATTGTAACTACATCTCACATAGTATGTGTATACATACACATGAGTCAAGACAGGCTTATCATATTATTTAGATCTACCAAACAAAGCATTTGAAAACTCTTTCCAAAATATACTTAAAGTTTTAAATAACACACTTAAAATGTCTTGGGCGATGATATAGAAAATTAATTTAATAATCTAATTTATTCATAATTATTATTACAATTAATAGGTACTATGATACCCTCTAGTGGGGCAGGAAGGTCATACCTCTGGTAATAACTTTCAATCGCTTCCAAAGTATGATGTTTGGCATGTGTTCTTTTAATATGCTTCTGAAACAAAACAAAAAAATCTTTATGTTGTGTCACAGATCAGGTTCAAAATAAGAATGACATTTCTTGATCCCAATGACTAGCATATAGGGCAAACTGAATAATAGCTTGGGGATTTTGGTGGTGGTAGGACTTTTTTTTTCCTTCTACTCTCTGAACCTATGCATTTTAATCTCTATTGCTTGGCTGGGATGTCTTCAGACTGTACCACAAGGTACAGTATATATGTAAAAGCCAACAGGGTCATAGTAATTGAATCTAAATAAGTTTGCTTAGGGCTACAGAGGGCAAAGAAAAACTTGTTCCCTCTTTCAACCTTTGTATTAATTTTTCCTGGATTCAATTCCATCTAAGTCCCCTGCACTCTAGTTTTACAATCCAATTGCCATTTTTAACCAGGAAGAACATTGCTTAAAAACAACTTATTTGAAAACTACAAAAAGTAATTCCATAGAGACTTGCCACTTGACTGACACCTGTCATCTCATGATAAATGACTCCATTTTCTGCCTTTCTTGCCTTCTGCCACTCCAGCAATGGTCATTTATCATCATCTCTGTCAGCAATGGAAAGCAGCACTGACAGTGCAAGTCAGCAAACATTTAGCACATGGAACCACGCAACACAGGGAAATTATTATTGTCAGAATAATAATGGTTTAGCATAATTTATTACAGGTCCACCAAATAAGCAAAGGCTAGATGTTATTAGACAGATGGATGGGTAGGCTTGGCAGGCCTCCACCGAGACGCAGGCGGTGCTTGATGTGGAAAGGAGAACATCCTCCAACCCAATCAGAGAGCTGGCAGTTCAATTACAAAGAAATAAAGGGACATTCATCATTCAATTAGGCACCTGTCAACCCTCACAAAGGAGAAAACTTCTAACCTGGTACTCCTGGGAGAAGATGCTCAGCAGAGTGGCCTGCGATTGACTGGAACAAATAAAAGAAGGACAAAGTTAATTACTGGAGTGCACGGCAAAGAAACAAAAGAGAAAGGAGCTTCAAAGGTAGGCCTGCTGCCCTGTAATCTAACAGAACATGAAAACAAGTGTGGAAAAGTTGTTCCAGATGAACACCTCAAACAAAGGCTTCCTGCTGCTAGGTCAAGGAGAGAGAAAAAGGGAAAGGGGAAAATATGGATGGTCTCAAAGCAACTATCATATTATTTGGATTTTTTTTTAACTTTAGAATGATTATAAACCATTATCTGTAGCACGCAATGGTGTTAAAAGGGAAAGCAAGTCTTATTTCCATTAATAAATGATGGGGCTCAATTCCATATATAGTAGAGAACATGCAGTTCATTCATTGACAACATTCTGAAATTTATTTTGTCAGCAGACAGGTATCCTCCTCTGTAGCTGTTCCAGATGCAGGGGGAAAAACTGTGGTGCTTACTAGAAGTAGCACAGAGACCACTGGAACATTCCCACTGATACTGGCGTGCTTTGAAAATAGAAGCTTTCACAGCAGGAAGTGGGGTGCTTGGAGTGAGTCATTCCCAAGGACTACTATAAGCCCTATTCATCTAAGACTCCACACAAGGTCAAACACCTGGCAATGAAGAAACTTGGAAAATGTTCTTCCCAAGGGAGAATTTTCCCTTGCAACTGTTAACATTTCGAAATAGAAAGGAATTTCTCTTTCTCTAAAAAGGAATCAATACCCCACTGCTACTCTTTTTGATAAGATATACCTTATCTACCTTATCCTATCTTGAAAACAATTATTTCTATTTTCCTACTAAATGCTATCTGAATGGATAACACTTTAAATAATTCAACTTTTATAGTATGCCAAAGTATTGTAAATAATTAAAATTTATTTATTTATAGATGAAACCTTTTAAGCTCATTGCAAGTACTTTGGGAATGCAAAATAAAAATGACATCATATTTGTATACTCACTGTCTTAGTGTTGTCATCTACTGGACCTTTCCACCCTTACCAAAGTACAAGAATAGGTTAAAAAAATACCCTAAATGGTCACCAAGGAAAACTGATACATTATTGAAAGGGCTATTTAAATAACTCAAAAGTACAGAGAAATGATTGAATACAATTATACATTCATTATAGTCTGATTTTTTTCAATTTCCCTTTAAAATTGGAAACTACTTTTGTAGGAGCCAATTTTAGATACAAAATCTTCCTATTTTGCCTGGCTTGCCTGAGCTTAACATAAAAATCACATAGCCTTGTAGGGTTGCTGACAATAATCTTCTGAAAAAACATGGCAAAATGAAGCCCAAATCTTCATAAACTACTTAACTGAATATGTTGGATATGTATGTGCAATAAAGACCCCTACTCATTATACAGCAAAATACCTTTGTGTTATTAAACATTTAATAGTACACAAAATGTCAGTCTCTATATTTCAAGAAATATGATGAAAATAAATTTGTTTGGAATAGGCAAATCAAGGACCAATAACTAATGAGGAAGAAACTGAATTACAAATACAATAAAATGCAATTGTAGATGCTCAGGATAGGAAGACTAAGAGACAGTTGGAAAAAAAATTCAAAAATAAATAGTTCAAAGTGAATAGTTGGTCAGGAGTTGAGAGTGATATATAAACCAAGGATAAGACAATGTTTAGCTAGAAAACTGGGATAAGACAGTGCCTTCATCTAGAAAAATGTCTTTAAACTGCTTAGAATTCAATTTCAGCTAAAACCATGAACAGAGGCTATGAAGTAACCCAGTTTTTTTTCTGTGCCCAAGAGGGTTAGAGAGAAGATTCTAGCTTACACTGGGAGTAAAACCTGGCTAGAACTCCAAAGAGAAAACGACTAACCTGCATGATTAACAACCGAAAGACCTGGGTCCAAAATACTTTGGTTTTGTTTGACTAAACAAAGCTGCAGAGAACTAAGTGACCTTTTGCCAGGTAGTTTGCCAGGCAATCATCAGTTCCTGCGTTTGCCAACCTTATAGAAGAATGTTCTGAATAAGTGTCACACCATAAAGAGCAGGAAAAAAGTAGCTTTAGTGCCACCATGATATTGACTCCAGTGTACATTATTTGTACTTTCTTCCAATGTACTACAACTACGAATGGATACTAGAGGGAAAGACTGGGCAGGGGGAGGGAAGCAGAGTCACATGATCCCAAGGCCATAACTATCGCTACTCTACTCCCACCACAACCTCTCCTAGTGTTTGATTTGTTTTGGTCAAAGGCAGCAGAACGTATATAAATTCAACACACAGAATATGGTTTCAGCTAAAAAGAGGAGAAGAGAAAATGATCCTGGACAACTAAAAGCTCTACCGTGAACACTGGTCAATCAGTCAACAGTATTCACTGTACATCTACAATTTCTCAAGATAACGAGTATGGGATGGAAATACGCCATCAGAATAAAACAATCAAATAAGGTGGGCAGGAGTTGACTTAGAAGAAACTTTCAACATACACACACAAAAAAAGGGCAAAAATAAAAAAAAAATACATTGCCAAGTACTCGCATATTTTTTTAGGGAACTAGTAAATCATACCCTGAATCTTCCCATATTAATTACATCACTTAGCATATACGGTGTTTTAAAATTCATACATTCAAAAATGCAGTCATTTAATTTGCACCAAATATTCAAGATGTATTATTAAAACCTCTTCAAAACAGGATTGCTTGTATTTGTTTCCCATGCTACCTTCCCAGATTAAGCTCCTCACCCAGCAGCTATCTGAGCAAAGGCGAGCATGTGGGTAGACCATAGAATGGCTACGTAAATCCCTGACCCAACCTGGGACAACAGCAGCCGTGCGGCAGCTATGTGGAAACAAGCATGAAGACAAACGCAACGCACTGAAGGTGGCGGGACGGAAGACGGAAAGAGCTGGAGTCCTTGTGGACGACACTGAGCTGCTCAAACAACCATGGAATTGAACTGACCAGCCCCCATACTTCTTATTTTGTGTATTAACATACATCTTTTTTTTTTTAATAACCTCAAAAACAAAGAAATAAAACTCCGCCCAGGTTTCTGTGTTTCCTGGTCAGAAGGAAGCACGATGGAGGGAGGGCTCTGAGACAGGGTGCTCCATAATGATGGCACATGTATGGGATGGAACATTTGAAAGGGGCTGTCCACTCCCACACTTTCTAATTCTCTTCCTAGCTGGCAGCTATAGTTGGCTTCCCTAAAATTGGTCCTCTGTCACTGCGTCACTAAATTGATGTGCCTAGAGATCACAAACTGGCGTGTTATTTTCCCGCATGGATTTTTAAACATTGATGGGGTACTACTCTCTTTTTACATTGCATTGCACATTCTTCAAGTGCCGGGTATATAAGCAGACAATAAACTAGTTCCATATAGGACATTTAACTCAATGTGCCCCCAAGCCCACTCAGCCAAAATATTCAGTAACCTGAAAGAACATCAGAGGATTGGGGGAGTGCAGCAGAAACTAAGAGCAGAGTTTAGCACAGACATATACAAGGGTGAGGCCCTCATGGTCTCAGATGGAGACCTAAAGCAAGTAGAATCTTAATAAGGAAACAGACATCAACATTTCATGTTGTTCTTCTTCTCAAATGTGCAACCTCTGAAAAAGAGCATAAAGAAGTAAATACCTTTAACTTTAAAGATCCTTTTGCCATAGAATCTAGAAAACTTAAATGTTTATACTCTACTGGCCTCAAAATTCTCTAAGCCAAATAAACAGTATTTCTGGAGCTTGGAAAGTAGCAAACCAATTAAAGAGAGAGAAAGTAGGATACTCCCACAAAGCATTAGGCCTGACCTCACGGATGCAAGGCACAATCTCTCTCAATCTGTGAAAGATTACAATAGAACACTAGCCCTGTCTAGTTAGTAAATCAGAGTGCTAGTCAAGAAATATTTTCTATTAATATAAAAGCTATGCAGCTTCCCTCTTAATCACCCCCCCAACCCCCTACACAAAAGTTTGAAATGTAGAGCCATTTTCTTCCTCTAAAATCAAAATGTTCAACAAGACAACACGGCTTGATACACAATATCACAAATTTTACTTATTTTTCAGGAACACAAAATGCAAAATGGAAAAGAACCTGAAGAGAGATACTGATACTCTGGGAAATTATTGAGAGGAAAAAAGAGGAAAATCCACAAACTAATGTTAAGAATAGAGAAAAATATATCCATCCTATACCCTAACCCCATGCCTTCTCTTCCCAATTTCTAATTTCATATCAAGAATGCAGACATTTTATGCCTAATGATAACAAATATCCCCATAAATGACTATATAGATGGCAGCATTAAGCTCGACAGTAATCTACTATCAGAAAAAAAGGTTGTTGGAAACTATAGTTCAAATATACAATTGTCCCCTGGTATCCATCACCGGGAGATTGGTTCCCAGACCTCCTTGGATACCCAGATCTGAAGATGTTCAAATTTTTTAAAGAAAATGGTATAGCATTTGCATATAAACCTACATACATCCTCCTGTATACTTTAAATTATCTCCTGATTAATTATAATACCTAATACAATGTAAATGCTGTGTAAACAGTTGTTATACTGTGTTGATTTTGTTCGTTTTATTTTTATTGTTGTATTGTTTCTTAATTCAACTATTTTCAATCTGCTCTTGGTTGAAAACACCAGTGTGGAATTGTGGATATGGAGGACCACCAATCTGTGAAAAAAAAGTGATTACTATCCCAGTCTCTTAACTAATTTTGCTGGTAAACTAATATACACTCAAAATAGCTCTATAACTACTCTGCACTTGATGTTATACTGAGCATTTTACTTTATCCTCACAACTCTCTGAGGTAGGTACTACTACTGTCCTTATTTTAAAGATGGGGAAATGAAGGAAGAGAAGCTAAGTAAAATATACAATTAAACATTTACATAAATGGTAGCACTGGGAATCTAAATCCAAATCTAATTTCATAACTCGAACTCTTAATCCCAATGCT